GGCTGCAGCGGTTGAGGGAACATCTCAGCTTTGGGGAAGGGCGGCATGTAGACGGGAGGGGAGGGAGCCAGGCTGTAGCCCTGGGACGTCACCGGGATGGGCAGGCCGGTGGGCACCAGGGACTGGTTCATACCCCCTCCGCCTCGTTGCCAAAGGGCAGCAGCAGCCGTTTGCCTTTCTGACGCCGGTTGCAGAACCAGACCCGCACCACCTGCGAGGGAGGGGAGACAGGGAAGGGTGAGGGGGGGCGAGCCCAAGTACTGTGCGGGAGACAAGGAGACCCTTCTGCTGGTGGCATCTCCACAGCCCCCCTGACCCCCAGCACACACCCTCCCTGCCACCACTCCTGCTGGGGCTGGGCTCGGGCAGGCTGACCTTGCTGTCAGCCCCAGCCACTCTCGCACACCTCCCAGTATGGAACTGGCCTGATGCGGGTGCTCAGGAACCGCGGCCATTCAGGCACCCACCCTGCAGACCCTCCCAACCTACGTCTTTGTCCAGGTTGAGGTCCTCGGCAATCTGGGAGATCTCCTGGGGACTGGGCTTGACGCACTTGCGGAAGAAGCTCTCCAGCGTCCCCTTCACGTTGGTCTCGATGCTGGTCCTGCGTTTCCTCTTCCGGGCTTGGGCCAACACTTGCTCCGCATTGCACATCTGGAAACGACAGAGGCCACACACCTGGTCACAGGGCTAGCAATGTCCCCACGGGGCTCTGGACACACACACGGCTGGCTGCAGAGGTCTGGGGACAGGCTTTGTTCCCATGACTGTCCCCTGATCATCACCCCACTGTGGTTGGGGCCATTCCAAGTGTTCCAGCACTGGTACAGCTGGCGCGAGGCGGATGGACACATCCTCCCACATCCCTCCAGGCTCCCCAGGAGCAGCAAGCTGCACCTCCAGCTCACCCAAGACCTCAGCAGGACCTGGCTGCTGAGATGGGAGCTGCCACACCTGTCACAAGGTGCCTGGGGGGCAGAATGCGAGGTCTCCCCAGCCTGGCAGAAGGCAATACACCGTGGATATGGTTCCCCCTACAGCCAGACCAAAGCTGTGGCAGCAAGATGCAGCTACCGCACAGGCTCCCCTCCTCTCTCCCAAAAACCATGTGTAAAAGGGAGAAGCTGCAGCTTGGTGGCTCGGGGGTGTGCAATAACCCCGCCTCCTGCCCTCCCCAGCCCTGTACCTCCTGCATGTTGTCCGTGTTCTCTGCCTCGTTGAGCCAACGCTGCAGCAGCGGCTTCAGCTTGCACATGTTCTTGAAGCTGAGCTGGAGCGCTTCAAAGCGGCAGATGGTTGTCTGGCTGAACATCTTCCCTGCGCAGGCAGGCAGGGCATCACGAACCCGGACCCCCCCCCCCCCCCCGGAACCCCCCCCCCCCCCAGCAGCCCCCCAGGATCCATTCCCCCCCCCCCCCACCACCAGCATCCCCTGTCCCTGCGGACCAGGAAAGGCATTCCCCCTGCTGTTTCAGCAGGGATTTCATGGAATCCCAGGATGGTTTGGGTTGGAAGGGACCTTAAAGCCCATCCAGTGCCACCCCCTGCCATGGGCAGGGACACCTCCCACTAGCCCAGGTTGCGCAAAGCCTCATCCAGCCGGGCCTTGAACCCCTCCAGGGATGGGGCATCCACAGCTTCTCTGGGCACCCTGGGCCACTGCCTCACCCCCCGCACAGGAAAACATTTCTTCCTCACATCTCACCTCAATCTCCCCTCTTTCAGCTTCAAACCGTTCCCCCTCATCCTGTAACTACACTCCCTACTCTCCCCATCTTTCCTGTCGTCCCCCTAAAGCACTGAAACGCTCTTAAAATAAGCAGCTGTAGCTATTTTAAACCAGTTTCTGATTATCAAACCCTCTCAGCGGGAGAGAGTGCTCAACCAGGGCTCAGAGCCCGGGGAGCCCAGGTGCTGGTGCTCACCGCCTCCTTTGCAGGTCGTTAAGGAGCA